TCTCGTGATATAACAGTATCTAAAGATAACATAAATGAAGGGATAAAATATATCTTATAATTTGAGACATAACACAGTCTTCACAAACATATTGAGAACTTTTACGGACTTTTAAAAACAAAAATTATTTATATATAAAATGACTATTTATTAAATAAATTAAAAATTCATTTTAATTGACAGAAAAATATTTTACAAATAATGTCACCAAAAAAGGATGTAATCTCGACAGTGAGAGCGCCCGCACCTATCGCACCGTACAGTCAAGGCGTCAGAGCCGGTGATTACCTATTTATTACGGGACAGATATCAACAGACGTGAGTCCTCAGGCACCGGTCGTCGGCCAAATACGAGACCACTTTGAACAATGTGTTGGCCGTTACGGAGGCCGCCGGCGGCTCAGCCGATGATATCGTAAAACTGGGAGTATTTGTCACAGATGTCCAGCACATCCATGTGCTCGACAAAGTGATCGAGAAGCTATTTCACCGCCCATACCCGGCCCGTCATGTCGTGCCCGTCAATAGTATACCCCGCGGCAATAATATTGAAATTGATGCTGTTGTTTATTTACCGCAAAATAAATAGTAATTATGTTTTATATTTTAACAAGGTGTAAATTAATGACTATATAATTTTAAATAAAATTTTTATTTGTGTTTTAATTTAAAGTGAGTTTTATTTCTATACAAATAATTAAGCGAATAATTAATTACAAATTGATATTTTAAGTAATGGATGCAAATAATATTATAATATTGATACAGTAATAATTATACAGAATATGGTAAAATTCTGTCAATTATTATAATTAATGTTTTGATTGCGATAATAAAATACAGAGTACTGTGAATACTATTTTAATTTATATGTAATTTAAAATAATAATTTTGAATTGAATTGTTATTAATTTAGTTTTAAATAGTCATACGCAAATTTACATTGTAATATAAAGTGAATTTAATAAAATAATTGAATGCACATTTAAATAACTTATATTTTATACAAATTACATGGTATTTGTCTGAATAAGTACAACAGAATATGATAAAATTAACGAAAATAATGTAAATAAAACTTTGATGTCAACGCGATATATGCCAAGTGCTGTAAATCCCATCTTATTTTGTATGTAATTTTGATTAACAATAATTGAATTGCCATTTAATTTGCGATCATTTCCATCAATACTCTGAACCACCACTTCAGAGGAATAAACGACTGATTTATGAATTAATTGATCCAAAGATTTAGGAATTATATTACAAACAATAATTGTAACAAAAAGTATTAAAACACTTTCAATGAGTATAAAAATTGAATATAATTTCTGTTCTTGTGGTCCAATTGAAAGCATACATAACACCGATAGACACCTCCATGTGTTAAATGCCAGCAAAATAAAGGTACAAATTGAGAAATTATTGTCAAGTGATTTAATAAAACAATGAGTTTTAACCACAAAATGGTTAACAAACTTCTTATCCAAATGACACAAATTTTTTGCAATGTATTTGAATTGTTGCGAAACAATACAACTCTGATATGCAATCAATGATACAATACTTAGCTGGATATTAATTAAGATAAAGTATACAATTGGCGCAAATATATTAGGGTAAATTTGTT